ATATATTAATCTGATTAATATACAAATAAAAACAGAATATTTAGCACTAGATAAAATAAATCATGAATTTATTTATTTTTAAATTTTTTTAAGAAAGGGCTGAAAGAAGAAATCCTGTGTGGCAGCACTTCATACAGCCTGCATCAGACTCAGTTAATAAATGTTTTTTTTTGTTTGTTTTTTTAATTAAGACTTGTGTAACATTTGTTATCATTCTTATTTTTATCATGTTAATGGAGAAATAAAAGGCAGTATCGGCTTCAAGAATCGGCCAAAAAAAAAAAATCGGCTGCACATACTGTATTGGCGTATCAGTTTGACTGATGTAAAAACAATTGGTATCGGTATCGGGCTTCAAAAACCTGTATCTGTCAATCTCTAGCCGCAAGAAACATGGCTCCAGAACATCAAAATACACTGGTCTAACTCCCAGTGACCCCCTCAGTAACTCAAGAAAGTTTTCTTTCTTGTGCAACTTCAAATCTAAAAAAATAATAATTAGAAGCACTCGGAGAATGTAAACCTCCACCAAGGCCAATTTCCCCTGTCCTGCAATAGTGAAAAATACTTAAAAAAATTCCTGGATTCAGATCGTGATCCAGATCATCACCAAAATTTAAGGGTGTGTTCCTTTGGCCAATACCCACCTTTCGTAAAAAAAAAAAAATTCATGAAAATCTATCCATAAGTTGTTGAGTAATTTTGTCCACAGACGGACGGACAGACAGACAGACAGACAGACAGACAGACAGACAGACAGACAGACAGACAGACAAGACCGAAAACATAACCTCCTTGGCGGAGGTAATTATCTTAATTATAGCTAATTTCTTTCAGAATTTAGGCAAAATATAGAACTTATTATGTAGAGTAAAAAACAAAAGCTAAATTAAAACTATTGAAGTTGACAGTTAATGAGCATGACGTTAAAGTTCAGTTGATTTCTCCTCGATTAGCTGGAACTGAAAGTTTCTACCTAGACAGCTTACCTGTTAGGTCTAAAGTTGCATTGTCACATTGATTATTGGAGTAAAACTCTCAAATTCTTCTCTTCTAAACTGTAATAAAACCTGAAATGATGTATTTTGTCTCTCTATGCTTGTTTATTTGTAGATATAATGAAGTGTGGAAACTGTTGCCATTAAAAAAAATTGTTTCTGTGAAATGCTTTTATCTCCACTTCTGMTTTGTTTATATCACTTAATTGAAACCAAAAAACCTGGGTAAATCTTTA